CTCTTCTTCTTCATCTCCAGAAGAAGGAAAGAGAAAAAAGAGAGAGTATGAGGAGAAGAGAATGAGAGGAGAAGGAGCAGAGAGAGATGATGAGACGACGTGAGAAGGGTACCCGAGCAGATGAGAATGCAGAGGGATAGAGGAAGCAGAGAAGGGTGAGGGCTTGAGAGGAGAGAGGCTCCGAGGAGGAGGGGAGAGGAGAAGACCAGACGAGAAATAGGAGCAGAGAGAAAAAGATAGACATAGCGAGAAATAGAGAGAACAGGAAGAGAGAAGAGAGAAGAGAGGAGAAAGTGAAGATGAGAGAATAAAGAGGACAGATAGAGAATGAGAGAGAGAGAAATAGAACAGAAGACGACTGAAGAGAGAAAGAGAGAGAGAGCGGAAATAGGACAGGAGACAGACAAGAAAAAAGAGGGAGGGGAGGAGAGGAGAGAAGGAAGGGGAGGGCAGGAAGGGAGATAGGGAGTAGGCGTGAGATAAAAGAATGAGATAACAAGTAAAGAGATAGATAAGATAGGATGAGAATAGGAATAGCTGATAGCGAGCAGATCGAAGAGAGAAAGAGAGGGCGCATAGTGGCTACGGTGAGGGACCGCGTGCTCAAAAGCGCAGTGTGGTGTCTAGACGCTACGGTAGGGTTGTGGAGGGAGGTGAGTGAAAAAAAAAAAGGGATCGATAGATTAGGATTAGCACATAGAGAATATATGGAATAGAGGACAGAGACCGATGAGAGAGAGAGAATAAAGAGAAGAGTGAGTAGGGGGGGCGGGGAGGGGAGAGACGAGAAGGAGAGAGTGAGAGAGAGAGAGGCAGAGGAAGTGGAGGAGAGAGAGGAGAGGAGACGAGAGAGAAGTCATATCGGGAGGAGCGAAAGATGTATCAGCGAGAAGTGATTAAAGATAAGGGAAGATATATGAAGAGTAGAAGGAGAGCGAAGACTGTAAGATAAGAGTGAGAGCAGCAAAGGCGAACAGACGACAAAACTCAATGAGCTGGAAATGGAAAGAGGTATGGAGACAAAGAGGAAAGCGATATGAATTGAATAACGATAAGTATATGAGCAGAGGATAGGCACAAAAAGAGGAAAAAAAGACAGACAAGGCAATAAAGACCAGTGAAAAGACCCTGTGAAAAGAAGTATATAATACCGGGAATAACAAACAACAACAAACGAACCACATAAAATAGAGTATGCACATAAAAAGAGAAATAAATATTGAGACCGCTAGTTAATGTAGAGATTGATATATTATTAAGTGAGAATATATAATTCAGACATTGATATTCCATGAATTAGCAAGATTAAGGCACATGAGCAGAGTGAAAAGAGAGGTATGGATGTGTGATAGAGGCGAAAACAGAGAGACTGTAAAGAGGAGCAATTGCAAGCAAGGAAGGAGAGCGATAAGAGGAGAGAAAAGGAGTAGAGAGAGGAGTTAAGGACGAAAGCAAATAGACACAAAGGAAGCGAAACACAGAAGACAGAATAGAAAACAAGGAAAGTAGAATAGAGAAAAGAAAGTGAAGACAAAAGCAAAAGAGGAGAAGCACGAACACAGAGTGCACAGCAGAAATAATAAACAGAAAACGTACAAGAGAAAAGAAAAAGGGGAAGAGAGAGCAAGGAAGAAGGAGCACGAAGGAGAGGGCCAACAACACAAAGATGAAGAGAGGAAAGAAGAGAAAAGGAAGCAGAAAGAGAAAGGAAGGGCAGGAGTAGAGAGGAGATTCGGAGAGGAGAAACGTGCAGGGGAGAAGGGAGGGAGGAGAGAGGCGAAGGAGACGGGAGACGAAGAGGTGAAGCAGGGAGGAGATTGGAGAAGGAGAGGAAAGGCAGGAAGGGATGGGCGAAGGAAAAGAGAGGGAGGAGCGCGAAGGAAGGAGGCGAGGGAAGGCAGGAGAAGAGGGTGGGAAAAGGAGAGAGGGAAGGAGAGAGGAAAGGAGGGGAAGGATGGAGAGGGAGGGAAGGAGGAGCGGATAGTGAGGAAGAGAGCATAGAGGAGAGGGAGGAAGGAGAGAAGGAGGGAAGGAGAGAGAGGAGGGAGAGAGGGAAGAGGGAGGGAAAGGAGAGAGAAGCGGAAGAGAAGGATGAGAGGGAGGAGGGAGGGAAGGAGGGAGAGAAGAGAGAAGGGAAGGAGAGCAGGGGCAGGATGAGAGAGGGAGGAGGAAGAGAAAGGAAGGAAGGGATGAGGAAGGAGAGAGGAGAGAGGGGGATGGAGGGAAGGAAGGGGAGGAAGGGGAGAGGAGGAAGGAGAGAAGGGAGACGAGAGAGGGGAAGGAGAGGACATATATATATATGGAGGGACGAGATGAGAGGAGGGAAGGAAGAGAGCGGGAGAGAGAGGAAAGGAAGAGAGAGTATGACAGGAGCGAGGGAAGGAGAGAGGGAGGGAAGAGAGGAAGGGGCAGACGAGAAGAGGGAAAGGAGGACGAAGAGAGAGAAGGAGAGAGGGGAGGCGGAGACGAGGGAAGGAGCGGAAGAGAGAGGAGGGAGAGA